GATTTTTTTCCAGATATTGAAGGTTTATAAAAAAAATATATATATATATATTAAAATTGGCTTTGGATTGGCAAAGTCTCAAAGAATGATTTCATCAGTTGAGGAGAACAAAGGATCAGATTATACCGCAACATGTTTGAATTAATGAATTTTAATAATAATCGCGCTCATCATTGTAAGGTAAAGGTCCCGGGTTCGAATCCAGCGGCCCTGCTTACAGATGGGCTTTTTTTTCAAAAACACCGGCTCCCCGAGGATTTATATGACCTCTACTGTTGCGAACCTCGTAAAATTAAAAAAAAAATCTGTGTAATAACGATACATTTTTGAATTCATTTCATAATTTCATTAATTTCATAAAAATTCATTTTTGAATTAATGAATTTTAATAATAATCCGTGTGGGGCGTCGGTGGCCGGAACGGTTTAGGCGTTGATACGGCGCTCATCATTGTAAGGTAAAGGTCCCGGGTTCGAATCCAGCGGCCCTGCTTACAGATGGGCTTTTTTTCAAAAACACCGGCTCCCCGAGGGTTTATATGATCTCTGCTGTTATGAACCCTCGTAAAATTTAAAAAAAAAAATCTGTGTAATAACGATACATTTTTGTAATTATGTTTATTGACAAATCTTTAAACGAGTAGGGGAAATGTAGTGTCTGTGGTTTTCAACTAATTCTCAGTCAAATTAAAAAACAAAAATAACAGTTTAGTATTTCATAAGGTTTATACGTAATTATATAGTTTGTTGTTCGTAGTATTTGTTGTTTATTTTTTTATTATTCACCTGGTACTGACTTTTTCTATTTGCCACATTTTTTAGCTTGTATTGAGAGAAAGTATCTACTCTGGTTAAACTATAGAATGTTGAATTTGAGTCTCTCCTAGCCAATTTGCAAACTTTTCGGTAGATTTATGATGTAGCTGATATCCTTGACATAGCGTTTGTTAATGTACAGCGGACAGTGAAAAATTACAATGATCATTTTTAGTTATTTGTTTTTTTAAATTTGAGATAATCATATTTCTTTTATTATCTCTTGTGATTGCTCCTTTTTCTATTTCTTGCTTTTCTGTTATTTTATTTCCCTCAAACCCTCATATTTAGATATTGAAAAGTTTCTGCTTGACGCTTACTGTTTAGGGTCTTAATGTCTGACAGTCTAAAAAGCGAACCTATACTTCTTTCGATATATTTCTATTGTCTCTTCATAAAGGGAGAGTGCAAGGCGTATTGAAAGGATACGTCCCAAGGGTTTAGTAGGGAAAAATTGGTCCTTTTACCTTCCACCTCTTTAGTTACAACTTCTACGAGGGGAGGCTAAGGAGGTGGAATCATCGATTTTAATGAAACTTTAGGTGGTACTAAAGAGAAAATTATAAGACCTGTCTCCAAGCGTTCTGGCCCTAGGAGCTGAGATAAAACCTCTATTATAACCACGATTTTAAATAATTTTTTAACATAAAAAATAAGAACCAAAAAACACTTTAGCATACTGCGGTATGGAAAATTACTTTGTTGTTTGGAAAATAACAAAACAATTAAAGAGAAAGATTTTATTAACAACTTTTATGCTAATTGGTTTGATTGAAATGGAAACAAAAGTAAATTGTTAAATCTTTATACAATTTAAAATATTACTGAATTCGAATTACTGATTCACATAAGCCCAAATCTCGTTAATAAATAAATAAATCAACTTACTAGCCTAATTATATCTGTTATCCTAAAATAATACAGATTGTTTACTTACTTCCCTGTCATCTTCAAGATATTTCATTGGGACAGATTCAGCTCCATTGATAGCTGCCGTGAGTGTTGCTTGATTTACCGTATTTTCAAGATCTGCACCAGTAACCCAGTCGTCCTTCTGCGAGAAGATCGACATATTTCTTAATTACTTTTTTTCTATAAAAATGTACATAGACAGAAGAGTCTATCACTTCAGATAGACCACCGGCAATTCCAGCTTTTGAAATTTACAGTAAATTATTGTCAGGTCTTGAAAATCACCCACTATGTTGGCACTCCGTGGTAGGACGTCGGTCTTATCCGTCCAACCGCCGAGTTTGGGCCTCTGGGGCTGCCAACAGCTAAATCATTTCATGTCTGGACACGATCAGTTCCTGAAACCAAACCTGCTGGTTTGATCCTGTATAATCACCATGAATTCAAGGTCATTGAATTTTTTTTTTAACATTTAAAACATTTTTTATGAGGAGGGTTCTTTCTCTTGTATATATACATTTAATGAAATAAATTCACTAATTTCGTGGTCCGCTTGACCAATTAATATATTACAATTAAGGTTTTTAGTTGAGATAAAAAGTCAATGGCACGAGCGGGATTCGAACCCACGATCTTCGGCTTGATACGCCGCTGCTCTACCACTTGAGCTATCGTGACCTCGATCCACTCGGACACCAACTTCCTATTTCAAGCGCACCTTTTGAATTTTCCCTGCTTTTTGCCATTTTTCAAATGTCGTGTAATCGGATTGGATTCTCGACGAAAAATGGCATTTGACGTATCAAGCCGAAGATCGTGGGTTCGAATCCCGCTCGTGCCATTGACTTTTTATCTCAACTAAAAACCTTAATGAATGTGTGATGATTAGTGACCGTAAATCGATTGGGCACTCTCCACACGACACGCAAGAATGACACAATTACACAGAAGACAAACACTTTGAGCCCTGAAGATGATCTCAATAAAGATCGAAACGTTGGCACGATAAAGAAAATGTTTTTCTGAAACCTACCTAAATACCTTAATTAATTTTAATGAAATAATTAAAAAGCGGTTTCAAATTTGCTACGGGCAGATTAGTGTGTCGACAAAGATGGTTCAATGTTGTTTAAACGAAATTTTTTATTTAATTGAAAGTGAATTAAAATTAATGAATGACGTGTATAGAGATTAGTGACCGTTAATCGATAGTAATTCAGATATCGTGAGATGCGGTCCCGACGGTCTGAATTATTAATGAATGACTTTGAACTAATTAAACCAACTCACAAAACCAGCAACGAAGGAGGAAAAATGAACGTACTTGAACAAAAAAAAGCAAAAAAGGAAAATACTATTCATTATGAGGTGTGGAGTACTCAATATTCATCCTTTTATACCCTTTTTTTCATCCTTTTATGACCATTATTATCCTATTATATAACTAACCTAATTGAGAGTAGATGGGGTACTCAATATTCTGCATCGGTCCTCTCAAACGCATATTCACACTAATATTGTAGATAAATTCTCACAGTGCTATAGACAGAAAACTATCACTTTTATACACAATAAAACCCATAAATAAAAATAAAAATGGGGTCGCTGTCGTGGTCAAGCTCGATTCTCATGTCGGATGGCATTTTTACGTGCTCTCTGTATGGAGGTAAGGCTTTAAGGACACACAAGGGTTTTGGCTCAAAAGTAAGTGCCCGTGTGGCAACTTCGCATGACCAATTTTTAATAGGGAGAGGATAAACCGTCCTCTACAAGTCAGGCTATACGAGGGCCACATTTCGACAGTGCTCTTGATACAGGAGAGCTTGTTTTCCCATCAGGCTGTAATGAAGGTATGTGGTATCTTTTGTTCGGACACTGCCGAATGGGACAATAATAAAAAATAATATTCACCAGATCCTTGCTGCGCAGAGTAAATAATACAAATAAAATAAAATCCGAATTACACAAAAAAATTATATTTCTTTGTACAAATAAACAAACAAATTCAACTTTTCGAAGTAAAATATTAAAAAGATCTCAATCAAAATAATCATACAAAAAATAATTTAAATATTTTCTTTTGCCAACCTGTTAACGTTAGATTAACATACCGCCATGCTCGTTATGGCGAAAGCAGCGATAGTTTTTCTATTTGTTTAACAAATGAACTATTTGCATTTTTATATAATACAAATCAAAATAACAAAATTTTTTTGACTTAACAAATTTAAACAAATACAAAGTAAGATTTTTTCTAAATAAATTATCGTTTGTTTGAAAATAAAATAACATTTTCTTCATTGTTAATAATTAATTATTAGTTATTAGTTAATAATTAACTAATTATATTATTACTAATTATATTAACTAATAATTAATAAGTTAATTATTATTAGTTTTTAGTTGAGATAAAAAAGTCAGTGTCACGAGCGGGATTCGAACCCACGATCTTCGGCTCGATACGCAGCTCCTCTACCAATTGAGCCATCGTGACCTCGATCCCACTCGTGACACTGACTTTTTTATATCAACTAAAAACCTTAATTAATCGAATGATATTAATTGGTCAAGAGGACCACGAAAACTAGTGAATTTAATAAGTTAAAATGAAGTATACTTCACTAAAGCTCTCCATATGTTTTTATTGCATTTTTTAGCATCAGAGGGTGGATAGCGGTAAATTAGTCCGGAGGTTGGGACTCTAGCCACCTCGTCCGACTTTTTTTGTTTCTCTCCAGCCCTTTCACACCAGCCTCAGAAATGGTTATTTTTTTTCGTAAAATTGATTAATTTCTGATATTACGGAATGATGGTACATAATAATGTTTTTAACTGTCCATACTTTCTCATTTAACTAGCTGAAAGTAAATTATTTTGAAAGAATATTTTTATATTAACGACAAATAATAAAATAAATAGTTGGACCGGTTAAATGCGATTGATCTGCAATTATTTATCTAATGGTTCAACTCACAATTTAATTAGTATCATTGAAATCGAATCTGCTGAATAATCAAACTGAGAAGAGATGTAGCCCCTGGGACGTGCGGATGTGGACTTTTCCATAAATATCGCTGTAAATGGTTTCCCAGAATGGGGTCACGAAATAAAAGTAAATTTTTGAATGAAAAGTTCACGTTTCTCCTTCTTCTTTTTTGGTGGTCTTACTCTGGGGGTCGTGGGCCTTGGGCGATCTGAGTGCCCCGTTAGCGGTCAGTTAAACTGACGAGCCAGATTTTTAAAAAAAATCATTGTAATGTTTTTTTGTTTCAGACAATACTTTTGGGGGACTCCGGAGTAGGTAAGACTTCGTTACTCGTACAGTTCGACACAGGAAAATTTCAATCGGGGACGTTTTCTGCGACTGTCGGCATCGGTTTCACGGTGAGTATTTTACTACTTTTTTCTGTATTTATCAACCAAGGGCCCACGGGAAAAAAAACCCTGTCAAGGATCAGGAATCCAAGGTAAGCCTTGTTTCGTATTTGGCCAGTTTGAATCGCCCGATCGTGAAAGCACACTGCTAAGAGGTGTGGTATTCTCTTCATTAAAATCCCAATTACAGAACTTTTCCTGTTGCGGTAAGAAGTTTAATCTAGTAATCATAAAATTTCGAGTTTGTAACTTAGCGGATACATCAGTGTCGCATCAAACTTTGCAAACTTAATCCAAGTTTCCAAACCTTTAAATTATTATCCGAACAGGAATAAAGAACTGACTGTATTACGTAGACTTTGAAATGATATTCAAATATTGCCCACTAAAATATACATAATTATTATTATACCATTGCGGACGACCTACCGGCGTTGCGTGATTGTATATCTAGCGCCTGGTATTTTAATTGGCAAATACGAGCCGGACGCCCCTCTCATATTTCCATTATCATAATATGGAGGATTAGATATAAACTAAACTTGATTAGGTAGGATGAGATATAAACTGCTTAAAACTGAATAGAAATATTTATAATTTATTCTTACACTATTGATTTTAATTAAATTAATCGATATATTCTTGTTAGTTGGATAAAACAAAATAGAAAATACAAACAAATGTTAATGTTAAGTTTTAATAACGGATTCACTTAAGAATAGTAAAAAAATAATAAAAAAGATAAAAAATGAATTTATACAATGCTAGGAATTTTTTGATTCAATCAAAGTATTTGTACTCATTCCAAGTGTTTGTTTTTCGTGTAGATCTGTCGGCTCCTTTCACCTCAAAGAAGCCGACTCCTCATATAAAAATGTCTTTCTATTCCCGACTTCCCTCCCCACCTTTTCAAAATCCAACGTATAAATACATAAAACATCAATATCAATATCTCACTGGCACTCTCAACACGACAGACAAGAATGACACATCTACACGGAAAACAAACACTATGAGTGAGTACAAATACTTTGCTTGAATTGAATTTTCTAGCATTGCATAAATTAATTATTTATTTATTTTTTATCTAAAATTTTCTAGCATTGTATACATTCGTTTTTTTTTTTAAATCTAAAATTTTCTTGCATTCTATAAATTCATTTTTTAATCTAAAATTTTCTAGCATTGTATAAATTCATATTTTTAATCAAAAAGTTTCTAGCATTGTATAAACTAATTTTTTCTTTTAATCTAAAATTTTCTAGCATTGTATAAATTCATTTTTTATTTATTTATATTTTTTATCTAAAATTTTCTTGCATTGTATAAATTCATTTCTTTAAATCTAAAATTTTCTAGCATTTATAAATTTGTTTTTTATTTATTTATTTATTTTTATTTAAAATTTTCTTGCATTGTATAAATTCATTTTTTTAATCTAAAATTTTCTACCATTGTATAAATTCATTTTTTTAATCTAACATTTTAATAAAAAACCTGAAGGTTTTCTGAGTAACACATCGATACAACTAACCCTATTTATTATATTTTCTTTATTTTATTTTATTATTTTTTTTTTTTACAGGGGCAACCGACAGCTTGGTCATTTCAGCCCCGAAGCACTAGCGAAATACCACTACATACTCGGTACATCACACCAATAAATATATTCATGCCTGAGAGGCGATGGACAGGCTACTTCGCCATCAGCCCCTCCCCATTCACGCCAATAAATACATTCACTCATATAAGACACAGAAACACAAAACACATATTTTGAAGGCTACATACAATAAAAAAATTCCCAATTCCCCTAAAAAGGGGAACAGGAGACCCTGAAACTCGCTACCGTGTTTGAGAACTCTCCTTAAACCCGGAGGCATGCCTACACGCTCTCTGTATGGAGCCGAGGCATGACACGCCTCTATTATGTGGGACACATCGAACAACCTTTCTCTGCATAAGGGGCACCTGCGCAGGCTTTGGGCCATTATTTTTTTTAAATTAACACTTATGGTATTTTAAGGTTTAAGTCAATGGTTTACCAACGATTTTATTCATCAAAATAATATGTTTGTATGTTTCATTTATCTACTGGGTTTTGATTGGATTTTCTTCTAGGAAAGTTAACTCAATACTCGACACAATGTACAGGTTGCTTTTTTTTTAATAAATGCTATTTTCCAACGACAACTTGCAAATATGACAGGCATCAATCCCTGAAAGCTTTTCCGAGAAACATGACAATGCACGATATAGACCAATTTAGATCGATAAATGCTAGTGCTCTATTTCTGGCTCCCTAGCCTTTATCTATTTTGCATTGAAACTTTTGATTCAGATAATTGTCAAAATCACAAAAACATCTAATAATAATTGTAAATAAGAACTATTGCTATATAGTTAGTTAGTGCTATATAGCTAAATAGTTTAAAAATAGTAAAAAGTATAAGCATAATAAGAATCATTAAATATAAATAATAAGTTTTTCATCTAAGTTTTTTGGCTGAGATTAAAGTAATTACTTATTTTAATTACTAAATTAATTCATATTTGTTTAGTGTCCATAATTGAACAGAATTTTTCATCACAGCCAAAAACCTTAGATGAAAAGAATATTTAATATGGTCAATTACAGACTAAACACACATGCATTAATTTAATAATTAAAAGAAGTAATTACTTCACTAATAGCTCGCCGTGGCCACTTCATTAGTCGCTGAGAATCGAATCCTGATTACACGACATTTGAAAAATGGCAATAAAAAGGGAAAATTCGAAAGGTTGTAGGTTGTGATGGGATGTTGTGTCCGAGGGGATCGAAGTCACGATAGCTCAAACGGTTAAAGCAACGGCGTGTTGAGCCGAAGGTCGTGGGTTCGATTCCCGCTCGTGACACTAATTTTTCACCTCAGCAAACAACTTTAAATGAAAAGAATAATTAATATGGATTAATTGTGGCTACTAAACAAATATGGATTAATTTAATAAATAATAAGTAAAAACCTGTTGACTTACTGCCCACTCTTTTAACGAACATTAAATCCCTATTCAATGTTATTTTTGTTTTAAATGTTTTGTCTTTGGTTGCCGATACATAGTTCTATTTTTATCATAGAATGTGGGAATCAAGCAAATGAAATGTTTATTTTCTGTTTTGTATTTTTAAAATACGTGCTTTAGTTTAAGCTATTTGTCTATTGAACTACTTTATCTCATAATTTTGATTTTAAAGGTGAGACAAAAAAAATATATGAAGTACATTGTTGATAAGATTTGGCCTGTAAAAACATATGGTACGGCGGGCTTAGCCCCAATTCATGTTAATAATATTCAGAGGAAACAAAATATTCAAAAAAGTATCTCACTTAAAAGATAGAATTTTGAATTAGGGAGATTAGGTTTATTTAGAAATGGTAAAATAAGCAATATGCTAATTGCTGCTAATATGGCGATTACTCCTCCTATTTTATTAGGGATAGAGCGTAAAATTGCGTATGCAAATTGGAAATATCATTCTGGTTGAATATGAACTGGGATGACTAATTGATTGGCTGGGATGAAATTTTCTGGATCTCCTAGAATTGTGGTTCTATTCAGTTTAACAATATAAAAGAAGAATATTATTATTATTACAATTAATTAAGATTTTCAGTTGAGATAAAAAAGTCAATGGCACGAGCGGGATTCGAACCCACGTCCTTCGGCTTGATGCGCCTCTGCTCTGCCACTTGAGCTATCGTGACCTCGATCCACTCGGACACTAACTTCCCATCTCAACCACACCTTTTGAATTTTCCCTCCTTTTTGCCATTTTTTCAAGATATTAATTGGACAAGCGGACCACAAAACTAGTGAAGGTTATTATTATTATTCCTCCCATTGTGTCCTTCACGGATAAGTAAGGGTGAAATGGGATTTTGTCAGTGTTTCTGTTAATCCCTGTTGGGTTGTTTGATACCGTTAGGTGGAGATATAGTAAATGAATAGTTGCGAATACACAAATCACAAATGGCATTAAAAAATGTACAAATGTGTGTTAATGTGGCGTTCTGAATAGAGAATCACCCCCATAGTCATAAGATGATTTTTTTCTTGGTAAGGGATGACCGATAGTTTTTGATAACTGTTGCACCTCATAATGATATTTGTACCCAGAGTAGGGCATACCCAAGGAAAACTGTAGCTATAATTAATAATAGAAGCATTTCACCTACTGTTCAGGTGTGAATCCCGTTGGTTGCAAAGTTGGCCACCCTTACCTCTAAGAAGTAGTTTAGATCTCGGCAAAATGAAGCGACTGCCTTTAAATAAGAAAATCAGTATCCGTGAGATTGAGGTCCTTCACGATGAGAATAGAAGAAATGGATCATTCATAGAAATGATAAATGATGGAGTGAGTGTGTTATTCAATATTTTTAAAAAGAGTTCCTACTCACAGTTAGATGTTTTCAAAGATCCGGATTTCAAGCTCATAGCTCTTCATCAGATTGAGGGGGATCGGCGGGTTCAGCCTTGCAATTTTTGTCGAGAGACGTGGTTGTAAACCCCTTCAACCTGATGATGTGCTATAAGCTTGAAATCCGGATCATCAAAAACATCTAACTGTGAGTAGGAACTATCTTTTTAAAAATATTGAATAACACACTCACTCCATCATTTATCATTTCTATGAATGATCCATTTCTTCTATTCTCATCGTGAAGGACGTCAATCTCACGTCTTAGGTGCTAAATGTGCTTAGGTGCTAAAAACCACTAAATGTGAATAAGAACCGGATCATTGAAAACCACTAAATGTGAGTAGGAACCATCGTTTTAAAAAGATGGATAACTCATTGTTGCGCTTGTCAACATGTGGCGCAAAAATAATCTCGTTGTAAGAGGTTTCAAACGAAATCCCGACGACAACGCCTAGCAAGTAGTAAGTTTGTGTCAACAATTGCTTCAAGTGGAAGTAAAAACGAAAAACATCTTGGCTCTTAGGTTAATACCGGAAGGGATAGTTCCGGTTGACTTTTAGGCGGCTTAGTGATAAGGTGGCCGTCTTAAAATTTGCAAGGTGTCTGAAGAATTCTGGTTATTCTAGCCATCAGGATGTTTCTAACAATATAAGAAGAAGGAGATCAAATCTTACTAATTCTGCGAGAAATTTTCCGACTGAATGTCTTTGCCGGTCAGGATCGTCTCTACGTTCAAGGCAGTTGCTGGACACTTAATGAGAACAATAATTTACTGACTGTGCTGAAAACGGCGAGTCGAAGTTGTTAGTGAAGTTGTTGGCGCAGATTTGTCATCTTTCGTCTCGGCTGTGGTTTCCAAATCGCTTACTCGTAATCATTTCTCCCGTTCTCCAGCCTCTCGCCACTGGCTCATCAGGCTTTTCCTGTTTCACCTGGATCCTCAACGTCCATTCTAGATGAGATAAACCTGTCGGCAAGCGTCTGTGCCCACCGAGACTTCTATGCAATCGATGACCGTTATTTTTTTTACAATACCGCGGGTCTAAAAAATAAAGTGAGTGACTTATTTTTTCCGAAATTTCTTAATATATTTGATGTATTAATTTTAAAAGAATCATTCGTAGAATGTAAGAATTTTAACGTTTATGATAAATACTTTGCTATTTATAATATACTGTTTGTTCCTGCTACGGAAACATACATATTTGGAAGGGGGGTTGTTTGCAATTAAATTTAATTATTGTAATATCAATTTTAAATTTTTTGTGTTAAAAAGGTGGAATCTAAGTATTATTCATACCAACGATTCTGTTTTTTTTCTTCTATTATATCCCTATCTAATCCACATATTTTATTTTTTTATTTTATTTTTTTGGTTCATGATAATAGTAAGAATTGCTTCCAACTGACCAAACATGCATGGCAAGCTTAGTCTTATCGCTCTGAACTCATTAAGGAATTCAATTATTGTCGTTATCTAATAGAATATTTGTCAATTTAATTTTAACATTTATTATTCAGAAATCGTGAGATGCGGTCTGGTGTGATGTAGGTTTCAGAAAAACATTTTCTTTATCGTGCCAACATTTCGATCTTTATTAAGATCATCTTCAGTGCCTGGGATTTATAAACATTGTTTAAATTTAACAAATACATGTAGGATATTGAAAAAAGTGAATTTATACAATGCAAAATATATTTTTTATATTCGATCAAAATATTTCTACTCACTCAAAGTGTTTGTTTTCTATTTATTATAGATTATTTATATATTCTATTTATATAAACATAAAACAGCAATATCTCACTGGCACTCTCGACACGACACGCAAGAATGGCACAATTACACTGAAAACAAACACTTTGAGTGAGTAGAAATACTTTGATTGAATATAAAAAATATATTTTGCATTGTATAAATTCACTTTTTTCCACATCCTACGTGTATTTGTTAAATTTAAACAATGTTTGTAAATCCCAGGCCCTGAAGATGATCTCAATAAAGATCGAAACGTTGGCACGATAAAAAAAATGTTTTTCTGAAACCCACGTCACACCAGACAGCATCTCACGATTTCTGAATAATCATCGTCTAACGGTCATTAATCACCACACATTTTAACATTTATACTTTTGTATTTTTATTGAGTTTTAAAATTGAGTATAAACGTAGGATTTTCCAATAAACAATCACACAATAAACAATGGTTAA